TCAGGAGGCTGAGGATCACAAGTCTGAGGCCAGCCTAGACAACTCAGCAAGAACCTATTTCAAAATAAAGTTTAGAGAGGGCTGGGAAGTAGCTCAGTAATAGACTGTCCTTGGGTTCAATTTCCAGAACTAGAAGGAAGAAATTCCTATATTCACTGAGTTTTCATTTGGTATGATTGTGGCTTTGGAGCCTGGCGTTCCATCTGTCTGCCAAACACTCCTGCTCACCTACCCAGCTTCCTTGCTGAGCATTTCCCCTCACCAGCCAGCTCCATCCTGTCTTTGCTGATTTAGGCACTAGCCTTCTCCCTTGTTCCTCTCTTCTAGCTTTCCTGTACCACTCCTATTCAAAAGTAGGGCCCCTCCTCTCTGCCTGTAACATCTCTACCACAGCTCTCTTCACCCTGGTTTTATAAGCCTTCTCCCAGCAGGCTGTGGGAAAAAGCTGTTAGCTCAGTGCCTGGCACAGGCCTGCCCCAAAGGGCATTCACAAAGATGTTCACTGTTAAATAAGTGAACAAGCTAATGAGAGCAGTTTAAAACTTACATTTCTAAAGAAAATGGCCCTTTTGAGAACCAATAGGCAAAGGCCTTCTGGATCCTCTCCCATTTGAACACAGGGCCCAACCTCCCCAAAGTTAGTTACCTCAGCAGCCCCTCGCCAGGATCGCACAGCTTCCTCCAGTTCGGGTGTATGGCCCAGGCCAGATAAGCCACTGCCACCACTGTTCTTTTTTTCTGGCACAACAAACTCGGCAAAGCAAGAGTGAGCCACTGGCTGGACCTTCTGTAATGCGTGGGTCAAAAACTGGAAATGGACTTGTACCACTGTCAAGAAACATCGCCCCAACACCTGCAAAAACAAGAAAGCCAGGATTTTTTAGGTTGCAGGTTACTGATGGATCAGCATAATAAATTCAACTATCAATGACTATGGAATTATGAAATTATACAAAGTGAAAAAGTCACCATGCTTTAGAAGGATCTGCCTTTGTTCTCATATATGGACCTAGCTGCCTGATGCCTAGAAGTCAAAATATCTCAACCAAACAGCAAGTCCCCAGATTCAAATAAATCTTCCAACTTCCTGCCAAGTATCTGTATTCCTGTTCTCCACTCCTATCACCTGGACTCTGGCTCACACTGACCCTGGTTGTCTTTGAGCTCATGCTGAACTAGAGCAATCCACAATTCCAATTATGTCCATGCAGTGTTCAGAAGGCAAAGTAAAAGCCATGTGATTCAAAATCTGATAGATCAGTGTGACTTATAAAAAAAAATCCCATTGGAAATGGAATCCAAAGATACTAGTTATTTTAATAACAGTGTTAATATAGTTATTAACATCATTGTAAGTCATATTTTCAATCTTAAGAAATAAAGCTGACAGACCAGTCTTGTAGGAGGCAACAAAACATATTATACAACTCCATTCACCAGTTTAGTAGGAACCCACTGACCTGATACATAGTGTTAACTGGTTAATGGCCCAAATAGGAAATTCATTTTAAAAAAATACTATTCATAATATCACATTGACATATAGGGTTAACATGTAATTATACATATGTACATACACACACACTGAAATATGTGTACTATAAACATTTTAAAATATGAAAGTACATTTATCTGGCAATCTGGCATCAGCTGTTCTCTGACATTGTTTGTTGCTCCCTGTTTTCTTTCTTGCCTTAACCACAGCTACAATGTGTTCTCTAGGATTTCCTATTTCTTGTTCTTTAAAGGAGAGCAAGAATTTACCATACGCAAAGCAATTTGAGCACAGATATTCCAGATTACTAACACCCCCCTGCCAAATCTCTCATAGCGCTTTTGCCCATACCAAATCTGACAATACCAACAAAAATTATTATAACCCTTTCATCACGTTCCATCAAATTGAGATTTTGTTTATGTGTGTGTGTATATGTGGAAGGTATTTTTTCTTTTTTCATTGGCTAATATAGATGACTTACAAAAAATTACTTTATACATTTGCAATTCATCCAAATGGAAGGAGCAAATGTGAGAAGCTTCACTGGCTGCCAGCCCTTAGGGCCCTGCCTTGGGAAGCTGGTGAAGGTTTGGAACTGCTTCCATTGTTTTTTTGGGGGGTGGGGTGGGGGTGAGGATGAGGGAATGTGAGGGTGGGGGGATGGAGGTGAGGGGATGGGGGTGAGGGGGGAGTGAGGGGGGTGGGGGTAGGGCAGATACCAGGGATTGAACTCAAAGGCACTCACCACTGAGCCACATCCCCAGACCTATTTTGTATTTTATTTAGAGACAGGGTCTCATTGAGTTGCTTAACATCTCACTTTTGCTGAGGCTGGCTTTGAACTCACAATTTTCCTGCCTCAGCCTCCAGAGCTGCTGGGATGATAGATGTGTACCACTGAGCCTGGCTCCATTGTCTTTTGAAGTACCTATGCTCCAGTCCAGTTCTGCCCCTTGAAGCAGCCCCAAATATGATTCAACCTTGGATCTTTTACCACTTAACACCCATGTCCAATGCTGTCTTTTACTGTACACCCTCTCCATCCCTACCAGTCAGAGCTCTGTTCCCTGGAGATACAGGAACAGGCCAACTCTCTGTATATACTTATTCCCTCTGAATCATATTCCCCCTGTGGAAATCACCAGGACCAAACAAAAGCAAACAAAAGACCTCAAACCAAACCATCCTCTCACCGTAGTGAACAACCCAGATGCTGAAACCCCACCTGAACTTCCTGGGTTTCCACTTCCACCACATTCAGAGCTCTTCCCTATCAGTGGTCTATACTAGATTGGACAAGGTGAGGGACACAGGTAACGCACGCAGTCAGAAATACATGACATAAATAACCAAACTATGGTACCAGCCTAGGTGTCCATCAATGGATGAATGGATAAAGAAAACGTGGCACATATACACGATGAAGTTTTATTCAGTCAAAAAAAATAAAATTATGTCATCTGCAGGAAAATGGATGGACTCAGAGACCATTATGTTTGGTGAAATAAGAAGGTCAGGGACTATATGTTTATTTATATATAATATATATATATAAATATATATATTATATATATAATGGCGACACAAACTGGATATAATAGTCATTTGAATATATACATATTATATAATATGTATACTATTATATGTATATATTTTTTATGTAAAAGCTAGAGAGGAAAAAAGGAAAAGAAAGAAAAGTGGGAGTAGATCTCATGAAAATCAAAGGGAGATCAGTAGAAGAAAGAGACCAAAAGGAAGGTGCAGAGAGAGGTGGGAAGAGATTGGGAGTGAAACTGGACAAATTATATTATTATATTGTGTGCAGGTAAGCATATGTAACAATAAATCCCATTGTTACATACAACCATAATACACCAATAAATAATATTTAGTACTGTATGTAATCACAGCCAGCTTTAATTGAGCTCCCAGCTTGTACTTAAGCAATGCTAAAGATTTCACATGGGGGTTCTGGGGTTGTGGCTCAGTGGCAGAGCACTTGCCTAGCATGTGTGAGGCACTGAGTCTGATTCTCAGCACTACATAAAAATAAATAAAAATAAAGGTATTCAACAACTAAAAAAAATTTAAAAAAATTTTTCACATGGGTTATCACACTTAATCCTAGGAACAATCCTTATAGTCATCCCTATTTTATAGACATGAAGACTAAGTCATACAAAAGTTATGAAACTTTGTCATGGCGACACAAACTGGATATAATAGTCATTTGAATTATCTTTCTGTGCCTTTAGCCAGTGTGTCCCCACTACTTGAACAGACTCAATACAACTAAGGGCTAGTGGTACTAGATCAGGTACATGATAGAAATTCAACCTTAACTGGCACAGTTAAGTGTGTCCTGAAGCTCCACATAGTGCAGACACAGAGAAGTGATGCTGGCTCCTCAAGGACACAAATTCTTCATCCCCCTCCTAATCTGCATTTTGGCAGATTATGGGGAAGTGGAGAAGGAGGAGACAGTGAGGATGCCATGAACCATTTGCTCTGGGGTCATATTCTCACAACTTCTGACCAATAATAATGAATCATTCACCCTTACAAGAAATATATATGTGAATGCCTAATATATATAAAGCACAAAAGCCTGATAATAATATAAGAAAGAGAATAAGCAAGTCCCAAAAATCATTCTAAGGAGGGTAAGGGAGACAACAAAGTCATAAATGGATACACAAGGTCAGATGCTGTAGGAGAATGAACATCAAGGGGTAGGTGGTAAAGAAAAGGTTCTCTGAGGACATGACCAAGGGGAAAGAGATGGCTGCCCCTTCCTCTCATAAAGGAAATATTCTCAGAAATGCTTCTGATGGCCTGATGAAGGGTCCAGAACAGGACACTCTTCTGATAATGATGGTGTGGACCACCTCTATGGAAGGATGGAGTCAGGGCAAGTCGTTTTGTTGCAGTGGTGAAATGGTGGAAGTGGTGGGGAATGCTGTTATAGGAATAAGCAGGGGAAGAGAGCCAAACAGCTGAAAAGGCATTTTCAGTGTGCTGTCCCCACCATTTACTATATGGCTGATCTTAGATGAATCATGTAATCTAAGTGTCTTCTCTATAAATAAGAAACTATGATAATAAGAGTTCAGCTACCATGCACCTCCTTCCTCCTACCTATGATATGTAACTCATCAACCCAAATTAGGATTGTGACAAAATATGTGTTGTAAATAACTCATTCAAAACCAATCAAGCCAAGTGCAGTGGCACACACCTGTAATCCCAGACACTTAGGAAGCTGAGGCAACCTGGACAACTTAGCAACACCCTGTCTCAAAACAAAACAGAAATAAAAATGGATTGGAATATGGCTCAGTGGTAAAGTACCCTGGGTTCAGAACCCAGTACTACCAAAAAAAAAAAAAAAAGCCAAACCAGTAGTTACCCCAGAAAAAGCTGTTTCAATGACTCTGCTCTTAAATTTACCTGAATAACGTAGGTATAAACTTCTCCTACTCAGAAAGACAGAGCTCTGACTTCAGGCTGCCTCTGCCCACCTTTTCTCTGATATCTTACCTCTTAGCTTAGTTCCCCTCCTTTACCCAGGCGTAGGCCAGTCCTTGGGGGTCTTCCTAATGTAAATTTGGAAAAGTGAGACCCCAAGGCCTTAGACAGCTATTTTTTCTTTCACATGGAGAAAGTTTATTGGTATGGGGTTCAACAGCAGAACAGATGTGACAAATTGGGTACGAAAAATGAAAGGACTGTCAAGGACAGACATTTAAGTTTACAGTAACAATGAAACTCTATCAACAGCTATCATTGAGTGTTTAACCCACAACACATACCTTACATGGGAATGTGACCCTGTGGGCTGTGAGCAATTCTTGACAGCACTAAGGCTTAGAGATCAAAACAAAACAAAATAACACACACACACATGCACACAAACAACCTTGCTTAATATCAAGTAGGTAATAAGTCAAACAGAACTGGCCAGTTCTGTTTGACTCCAAAAAGCTGTGTTCAAATTAATAGGCTTCTCTGTCTCCCTACAATAAGATCCAGGGCGTAGACACAATAGTGGATGGACACCAAACATAAGGAGGGCTAGATTATTGATAACCACTGGAGATCTACTGAAATGGAGTCCTGTTTTCTGGAAATCTCCAATGGTGGCATTACATTAGCTGCTAAGTATACTATGCTCATAGATATAACCAGAATGACTTTTCTTTTTGGTGATTTTTATATTTAATTGAGATTATAAAAAGAGATGTTTGGGGCTGGGGATGTGGCTCAAGCAGTAGCCCGCTCGCCTGGCATGCATGCGGCCCGGGTTTGATCCTCAGCACCACATACATACAAAGATGTTGTGTCTGCCAATAACT